TAAAGAGTAAATGGATGAGTTAAACACAGGCACATTTGATGTGATCAAAGTATCTACCATATATACAATTGGTATTTAATGACAACTAGTAATTCCACCATGAAAAATATAGATGGTTCGACCATGGCTACAAGAGAGAGTAATTAACACCTCATGGTCTCCAGGGGAGCTTTGATGAGTCTTTTTGCTGAAACTCTCAATGGATTTTGAGCGTAAGATTTCTTCTTTGTTTGTTCTTCTGATAGCAACAGTGTTTTCAGGACACTCTCCATTCTTGTGCCACACCTGAGTTATAGCCTTTGCATTTTTCTTGGTGTTTGTAGAATGATTACCTTTTGGGATAAAACTCGGTCTCATCTACGTGCAAAAATTTCCCGTTTCAACATGATCATGAATAAACAAAAGAGAGACCATAAACGAAGAGCAGACTTGGATTGTATGGTTTTTAAGCAGAGGATGATCCAAAGCTGGTTGACTAGTAATTGGGACACAATCTATTATGTCTCCATCTTCACTCTGTAAGAATTAAATCCAAGAATTAATTAATTAGTCTCTCAAATATTTTGTCCACAAATTCCCAAAGCATGGAGTTATATATGCATGCATATGGAATTGTATAAAACACCTTAATGGATTTAACGGCAGGTTTGTTGAGCCGCTTCAAAAGATTTTGTACTTCGATTTCCCAGTGATCAGGGAGCTCTTTTCCATAGACGCAAGGAGATATTATACCACTATCACCATCAGAGACGACACTGCGAATCCAGCCATTCCTACCATGGTTAATTATAATCCTTAGAAAGATGTTTAGTTAGTATTATTTGGAGTATAATTTTTTATCAACTACACTTTGGAATTTATAGGAGCAGATTGCTCATATATTCTATAAACTAAGAAATTAGTGCTTGAATGACCTTATCCTCTTGTGATAAATTTTGTAAGTGGTTATAGCAGTAATAACACCATGGAATGGAAATCAGTGAAAATTGACCCATGACTTAAACATCACCCAATCTTGTGATGAAACGCGTTACTAGGGAAAGAAAAATTAATCCAAGTGCATCATATATCATGTATAAATTAAGAAATTAGTGCTGAAAGAATTTATCATTTTCGGATCCGTATCATGACAATTTACAAGAACGTGTAATTTGGGCAAGAAAATTGGTCTGATGTGATCAGCTTTTAAACAAATATTTTTTGTGCGCTAAACTTCTTTAAATCTCTAAGACTCTCACTCGGTGAAAGGTGATCATCAATCAAGTTTTAGCAATAAATAACTGAAATGAAATTCAAAACCAAGGGAATAATGGGAAGCCTGACTATGAATGATCGAAAGCCCGTTAATTGGTGGTTCGAACACAATCTTTTATTTTTTTCCGTTTGGAAGCTTCCCATTGAAAATTAAGCCATAAAATTAGATTATTTTTTTAGATTTATAATCATCGGATATCCCATTATCCCCTTGGTTTTTTTCATTTGTTTTTCTTTTTTGAATCGAATGTTAAATTAATTCAAACAAAGAAATTTTTTAGAGTCGATTATGCATTGCAAGCCAAGATATGCAAGCTAATTTTCGAGTTGTGTATGAGAACCAAATCCCGTTCCACCAGACTTTTATGGGATGTGCTTCTCGGATATGATGCCACGTATCTTTAGAACTAAAAAGCGGTTTGAAATTTGTCGTCCTTTCGTCTCCACAAAACCACATCATCACCGTTTAGGTCCTTTTGCCGTTGAGTGTCAATTAACTCTTCTATAATGTTGAGAGTTTTCACTTGATGTCGTCTTCTTATTTATTTCTACAAACTTGATTTATAAACAGAGGACTGGAACAAACATAAATGTTCTTTATTATAAACTATATATGAAACCTTACACATAGATAAAGAGCACTTAACTATAATTAAAGATAGGATCAAACATAGATTCGAAATCTCAAAAGCTTCTTTGAACACACAGATCAGATCAAGGGCACATAGCGTTCTGACCAGGACCACCATAGAAGAAATGAGTACCAAAGGGAGTTCCACCATTTCCTGCTACAACGTTGTAACAATTACGATTATCAGCAACGGAGTAAAGTCCTTATGGTTCTCTCAGAGCATTTGTCCCATCAACTATCATAATATTTCGTACATTGCTCGCTTTCTTAAACCCTTCCTCTGCAAAATGCCCACTTCCCATATCGGTGGTTGTGTGTGTCTTACTGGTTTGCGTGAAGATTTCGCCTCCCCATTCAACTTTTATAGCTCCATCTCCTAGAGAATTGAACAACGAGCCGGGCCAGTACCCGATAATGTCATTGTCATTTATCTTTAGCCACCAGTTTCCTGTTTTTTGGTCCTGATGATCGCAAAAGTATCCATTTCATGTTGATGAAGAGTTAGAAAACAAGATTGCCTCTAATATATTACATACTGTTAAGAAAGGACTTTTCCACTAAATTTTAATTATGAGTTATTTGCGTGTAAAATAAATATATAATAATTTATTAACAAAGGTTATTTTCACTGGCTTGACTTTTCCTTTAGTAAAGGATATGAGATTTTGTTTTGCTAATTTAAATTGGATTTAGTGGAGGGACTTTATTTACGGTTTTAAGTGAGCAAAATACAGATGGAAACATTTGGAAATTATAATAGATTCATAAAGTAGATGTAAACTATACGATTAGATCGTTGGTATTATTTTAACTGGTCTTTAATCTTATGAATCTGCCTACTGGTGACTTGTTAAGGTGGATAAAGGAATTACGGTATTATTACCTTCCATATAAGTAGGTTGAGACTTAGTTGAGCTCCGTCGTATTCTGACACGGTATTGTAGGATCCACCTACAGAGTACTGGTTGTTCGTCTGAACAAAACCGCCGCACAGGAGATTGTAGCATCCTGTCTTTTGGTATCCATCGCTCTAATCATAATATCATATATATAAGCATGAACTTTCATTAGTAAAGAAGGAATCTTAATTTACAAGATAAAACATATTTTGAAGTGAAAATAAATGTGGTTTCGGATCTCAA